CCTGTTTCCAGTTCATGTTTTTAGTCTAAGTTCTTAGGAGTTTTGATTTATATTTTAAGAAGTTCTTATAGCTTGGGTTTTGGATTTATGCTCATGTTTTGATTCTTGTTTTTCTGGGTGCAATCTTGTTTCCTTGGATTTGTGCTCATGTTATGACTCTTGTTTTCCTGTCCCTTTTGGATTATTGCCTTTGAAGTGTTTTACTCCTCACCAGCTTGGTGGGCTTTTTACTTATTGACTACCTTTCTGATTAATATGGGATGGGACCATGTGACATGTATGGAACAGGATTATCTTTTGAAGTGTGTATTGTCTCCCTTATCCCCACAGAATTTTGAGACTAAGTTCCCTAATAACATAAGTTATAAACTACAACACATAATATTAGACTATACACATTTTCCTGTCATAACAGATTATAGGTGTGCATGGCAGGGGATGGCTAGTAGTCAATAAAACAGAAATAGATGTTTGTCTGAAACTCCCTGCCTTTCTCAATTATCCATACAATAGATAGAGAAGAAATATAAATGATCTAAAAGTGATATGGCAGAGAATTAACCAGGAAATACTGCTAAGGATGTATTCCTTTTACACAGCCATTAAAAAGAAAGGAGGCGCTCTGATGTTTACTCTGGCAACCGTACTGCACATTGGATTTCCAGACCTTTAATCTTGGTTTTCATTTTATAAGTTTAGAAACAAGTAAAAAAATAAATAAAGAAGTTATATCTGGGGTGAAACTTGGAGAAACCCAGAAAGAGTTATATCTGGGGTGAAACATGTGCATCATGGCTTTAAGCTTTGTGATTCATGGTGAGATAAGAAATCTAAGCCTATTGTACCTTATAGTGAGTTGCTTCAGTCTCATGAGCATCTGCTCATACATTTATTTTTCTTTCTTCTCTATCTATCTTATATCCTTTTATAAAGCGAGTGATCTGAGACATCTGGTGGGAGAACTCTGTATTTTTTTTGGAAATACCATTTTGAATGCACTTAAGGTAAGGTGAGTAACAGTGGACACCTGGTGGAGGAACCTGAACATATATTGGGTTACATTGGCCCCATCTACAATGCCTCAAAGTGCAGTGTAGCAGTCGTATTAGTGCTTCTCAACCTTCCTAATGCCATGACCCCGTAATACAAATCCTCATGTTGTGGTGACCCCCAACCATAACATTTCCATTGCTACTTCATAACTGTAATTCTGCTACTGTTATGAATTGTAATGTCAATATCTGATGTGCAGGATGTATTTTCATTCACTGGACCAAATTGGGCACAAATACTCGATACTGGTGGGGTTGTCGAATACTGGTGGGGTTGGGTGGGAATTTGATTTTGTCATTTGGGAGTTGTAGTTGCTGGGATTTATAGTTCACCTACAATCAAAGAGTATTCTGAACTCCATCAATGATGGAATTGAACCAAACTTGGCACACAGAACTCCCATGACCAACAGAAAATACTGGAAGGGTTTGGTGGGCATTGACTTTGAATTTTGGAGTTGTAGTTCACCTACATCCAGAGAGCACTGAAGGCTTGGACCAAACAATGATAGATCGAAATCCCAGAAGTCCACTACCAGGAGAATAAGCATCCATATATTTGCGAACTCTTTGACGTGGGAATCATAAGGGAGAGGATATGTAGAGGCCAAAGATACGAAGTAACTCTGTGGCACACATGGCACACATTTAGATGACGGAAAGACAGGGACTAGAGACTAATTGCTTCTTCCGGTTGAGTAACGTACAACTATGCTGGGTCGGACAAGTGTGTTAAGGCAACAACGTGCATGCGAAAGAGGGGTTCCGACCCTTTAAGCGGCCAAGATGGGTCCATCTGCATGGCGGATGTGCCTATCCTTGTGAGTGATGGTACTGACTCATATGAGGGAGCCTCGAATCGGGAGAACCTACAAATGGTCCCTTGCGGTATGGGGAAACGGGCGCAAGACAGGAAAAAGAGCTTACTGGACGTGGGCTGGTCCATTCGAGGCACGAAGGAGTCGGAGATTTCACGCCGAATCAAGCGTTTCAACTATAACACGCACCCTCTTTCTCTTTCATCTTGCCCTCAATCCTTATACAAAATATGAGTTCCAGATCATTCTGCTACATGGCAATGTAGCTCAGCCCCCCCCCCCGACTGAACGAATGAACAACAACAACACCCCAGGTGCTAGAACTCTCTCCCCAGGGAGATTAGATTAGCCCCCACCTTGTCCACCTTTTGGAAAGACCTGAAGACTTGGATGCCTTCGAATAATTATTCAACTATGAACAAGTCTGCCTAGCCCTCATCTTGGTACGATCTCCAGCATTTTATCCTCCAGGTTCCCAGCACATCATTAACAGTTATTTTTGCATTAGCCCTGTCCTGCCCTATTAGTCTCAAATCTGCACATGCCCACTTTTCTTGTCCATTAGTTAGTTGGGTTGTTGTGAGTTTTCTGGGCTGTATGGCCATGTTCCAGAAGCATTCTCTCCTGACGTTTCACTTGCATCTATGGCAGGCATCCTCAAGGGTTGTGAGGTCTGTTGGAAACTAGGAAAAAATATTTGGTTATTTATTTATTTCAAACCTTTCTATACTGTCCTTCTCAACCAACAAAGAGGGACTCAGGGTGGCTTACAAATGGCAGCCATTAGATGCCAACAATAACATCAATCACATTACAAAACAAATTGACAATGAGGTGAACAACAGGATTACAAATATACACTAAAATATTACAAATAAAACGTTAAAAAATTGTAAGATTAAAACAGTGCCAGGCCCAAATCACAAATCCAAATGAAAGTCCAGAATTCCAGTCCGATGTCTATTCATGGTTGATTCTCATCAGTCAATTGCTATTACTGCTCGGTCAGCCGCCCAAATGCTTGGTCCCAGACCTAAAGGGGAGGAGTGAGGAAGTTGACCTAATTCCGCTGGGGAGTGTGTTCCATAGGCGGGGGCCACCACTGAGAAGGCCCTGTCGCTCATCCCCGTGAACCACGCTTGCAAGGGTGGTGGGATCGAGAGCAGGGCCTCCCCTGACAATCGTAAACTCAAAGGTGGATCATAGTGGGAGATATGTTTGGACAAGTAAGCTGGGCCGGAACCACATAGGGTTTTCTAGGCAACAATTAATTTTAACCATTTCCATCCCCTTACGTTTGGGACGTAATTTTCAACTACATAGACATGTGGTATGTTTGAACATAAAACAGAATTTTCTATAAAGGACATATTGTCTCTAAGAAATTGTGGTTTTGGTTGTTATTCAGGAAACACTTTTTCTGTGCAAAACTAATTTGTCAATTTTGTACAGAATAGATCTCAAACTGTGAATTGTTCTCCTCAAAGCGCCTGAAACTTGAAGACACTTAAAAAAACAAACCATTTTCATATATTTCTGAACGCTTCAAAATAGGGGGTTGGAAAGTGGTGCATAGGAAAGGAGATGTCTAGTCAGAGAATCTAAGTGATATGAAATAATATTAACATTCTCTTTCTCCAGGTTCATTTCGGTTCATCTGATAAGTCTTCACACAATGCATGTCCTGCAGATCTGTGCAGTGCTTCTTTCTTTTGTCAGTCTCCTGTTGCTCCTCATTTCTCTGGGCTCGAACAACTGGGTGGAACTAATTGGTTCCAACTTTGGCCTGTGGAATCTCTGCAACTCTCTTGGGTGTTTTAAACTTTCGTCAGGATCAAGTAAGTTTTCTCCTAGCTTTGGAACTGGAGGAGTAGTGGTGGTATGCTCAGAAGCACCGTGCCTTTTTCAATAGATTTGCAGCAGTTCATGTGACAGAGGATTTTATTTTTTGGCTTCTTAAGTGTTTCTTCAGAGGTGATGCAAATGCATTACACATCCCAGAACCCCCAGTGGCTGAAGCCTTTGCCAGCTTGTACCCTAAATGTTTTTGCTCTGTGCAGGAGTTCCCAAATTAAGACCTATGAGTTGGATGCAGCCCTCCCAGATTATTTATACGGCCCCTATCCTAAGCTTTAGACTTAGGGTTACCCTAAATCTGAAACATCATGAGGAGACAGGAAAGCCTAGAGAAGACAATTATGCTGGGGAAAGTGGAAGGAAAAGGGAAGAGGGGCTGACCAAGGGCAAGATGGATGGATGGCATCCTTGAAGTGACTGGACTGACCTTGAAGGAGCTGGGGGTGGTGACGCCCGACAGGGAGCTCTGGCGTGGGCTGGTCCATGAGGTCACGAAGAGTCGGAGACGACTGAATGAATGAACAACAACAACAACAAATCTGAAACAACTTGAAGGCACACAACATGACATTAAGTCCTGTCATGTCTGACTCTGGGGGTGGGGTGGTGATGCTCATCTCCATTTCTAGGCCGAAGTGCCAGCATTGTCAGTAGACACCTCCAAGGTCATGTTGCCAACATGACTGCATGGAGCGCCTTTACCTTCCCGCCAGAGTGGTACCTATTGATCTACTCACATTTGCATGTTTTTGAACTGCTAGGTTGGCAGAAGCTGGGGCTAATAGCAGGGACTCATGCCTCTCCCTGTATTCGAACCTGTGACCTTTGGTTCTGCAAGTTCAGCAGCTCAGTGCTTTAACCCATTGTGCCACCTGGGAAAACCCTGTCTTATCAGACCAACTGTGATAAAATGGGATGTGAGGGGAAAGGTATGCATAGGATTGGTGGCATTTTAATACATGATGGTAGTATCATATCAGTTCTCAGTTGTACCATTGCCCAGTCCTCTTCTTACTTCTTCTTCTGATTCTTTGTAGGTTCATTTGAGGCTACCCGGGCTTTCATGTTGCTTGGCATGATCGCCGGTGCTGTCTCTTTCTTTGGACTTTGTTTCACCTTTTATAAGTCCCGTCTTGGCTCCATCTCCCTGGCCAAGGTGTCAGCGATTATCAGCTTTGCAGCAGGTATGATGGGGCAATATATTCCTGTTTCATAATCACATGCAGCTCTTCAATTTTCAAAAGATCAAGTCATATGCCATGTCCAACAATTCTAAAGTACCCAGATTGTATGCTCGTATACAGGAGCTGAAAGGATTTTGCACCAATTCTATATCTAGAGGTGGTATGGGAGTGCTCTTATCTCTCTTATTTCATCTACATGAGGATACAATTAGTGAAGCAGAGGACATGAATGAAATGGTTCCTGATCAATGATCAGAAATGTAGAAAGCATAAGAGAGGTGAATTAACTTCCCACTGTGGAGGAGGGCACTCTGGAGCAAGTAGTAACATCTCCTGGAGGTCTTCAACAAGTTAGATGTCTAGAATGGAAGGCAGTGGTTCTCAACTTGTGGGTCTCCAGATGTTTTGGCCTTCAACTCCCAGAACCCTAACAGCCGGTTAACTGGCTGGGATTTCTGGGAGTTGTAGACCAAAACATCTCGAGACCCACACGTTGAGAACCACTGATCAAAGTGGTGTATGAGGCAATTCTGCTGTCGCACTTCAGCACAGGAATAATCCTCTGACTTTAAACACCACATGTTGAATAGGAAAAACAATCCTTTTATTAAAGATAAGTAAAAAACAGCAAAGTAAAAAAGCACTTTAAGGAAATAGGTAAATCCAACTAGGTAAGAAGATAAGCAGGAACAAATTAGTCCAAGGTAGATTTCAGCAAAGTTATAAAAGCAAAGTCCATAGAACTCTAATACAATCCAGAAAATCAGGAATATATTGATCCAAGGCTTGGATAAGCAATCATGAAATCCAGGAATCAAAACCATGAAACAAGAAATAGCATGAATTTTCAAAGCAAGGCTTCCATGAAAACAAGGATGAGAACTTGGCGTGATTCTAAACTATGCTTCATCTGACTACACATCCCATGAGATTTTTATCCCCTTGATAGCTAGGTCACTAGTGGTCAGAAATTGGTTTCTCTTTAATCGAGGCTTTGTTATTGTTTTCTGTCAAAGCCTGGCAGAGCACTGAAGCCATTGCACAGCTCTCCTGTTTTGAGTTATCTCTTCTCATCTGTCTCTTGGCTGGTTATCTACTTGCTCATTAATTTTTGCAGCTGGGCCAGGTGCTGAGCTATTTTCATGTTCTTTCTCATGAGAACTCTTTGGTAACAATACAGAAAGCACACCATCATCCCCACACCCCTCAGGGACATTCTCATGGGAAACTACAGGGATCCCCTAATCATTCTCTGCATCAATATCACTGACCAAACCACTGCCATCTTGAAACTCATCTTGAACCTTATTAACATCATTCCCCACATCCAAAGCACCCTGATCCTGAAACACAATCACAGGCCGAACTCCAACATCTGCCACATTTTGGCTCCTTGGTTCAATGTATATTTAGGAGAGGGTGTTATGTAAAACTAATATAGAAAGGGCCATTTTTGTGCCAAGGGAACCCAAAATGTAAAAATCCTTCCTTGTCTCCAAGATGACATTCAGGGGGTAATTAGAGGCAAAAAAAAAAAAAAAAAGATTGGGGAGGGGAGTGAAGCTCACCAAGATCACCTGGGGGCCCCAACTCACAAAGATTTAACTCCTGTATTCCAAAGGATCCATCAGCTGACATTCTCTTTTTGATCCTCAGGTGCTTGTGCTTTGATTGCCATGTCTGTCTTCACAGCTGCCACAACTGTAAATGGTACATCTTCTTGGTATGGATGGTCATTTGGCTTGGGCTGGGCCTCCTTTCCTTTCTTCCTTCTAACTGGTAAGTATGTAATAGAGTGGGAAGGATTCATACATATTCAAACATTGTTCTTTCTTGATATAATTCTGAAGGCTGACCCATAAGACTGGCATAACCATATCATAAAGGGAGCCCTCATAGTAGTGCACCACTTAGGTTGCTGTTGGTCCATATTTCAGTCTGCTTCTGGGCTGAAAAATCCAGCAGCATAGAAAGCAGCATCTCACCCAAACGTTTCTTTTTTTGGCAGGTGGTGTTGCATTTGCATTACAAAGTGTGACAACAGAATGAACATGCAGAAAAATCTGTGCTTCCTTTCAAGATCATGACTTTTGGAGTTAGACAAGTACAATGGAGCACAGACACAGCATGTAAGCTGAACTTGGAGCAAGCCATTATTTATAGAAGGCAACCCGGTGTAAAAACAAATGCTGAATGGATTTGGACTTTGATGGAAGAGATCTGGTTCTGCTGTCATCTCCACCCTTTTCTCTTCTCCATCATACACATACATACCTGTATTTTGGGAAGGAATTCTTTTTTTGTAACTAGTTAATTGCTAGCTTCTGAATCAGACCTTGGTGTAATTCTTTTCACAAAGTTTGTTTTGAAATTTTGCAAATACAATGATTAGGAGATTTTGTGTGATCTGTCTTTTTACAACACTTATGTCAGAGGAAAAGGTGTTTTGCATCAAAATGAGTACTTGGCCACGGTAGTCCACGCTCTAGTAACATCCCGTATAGACTACTGCAACGCTCTCTACGTGGGGTTGCCTCTGAAGACTGCTCGGAAGCTTCAAATGGTCCAACGATCGGCAGCCAGGTTGCTAACAGGAGCGGCACTCAGGGAGCATACCACTCCTCTGTTGCGCCAGCTCCACTGGCTGCCAATTTGCTACCGGGCACAATTCAAAGTGCTGGCTTTAGCCTTTAAAGCCCTAAACGGTTCTGGCCCGACCTACCTGTCCGAACGCATCTCCTCCTATGAACCAGTTAGGACATTAAGATCATCTGGGGAGGCCCTGCTCTCGATCCCGCCAGCTTCACAAGCGCGCCTGGCGGGGACGAGAGACAGGGCCTTCTCAGTGGTGGCCCCTCGGCTGTGGAACACCCTCCCTACAGAGATCAGATCGGCCCCCTCCCTGTTGGCATTCCGGAGGAAATTGAAGACCTGGCTTTTCGAACAGGCATTTGACTAGGCAGTGCAATCGATTATTGGAACACGGAATAAGGATAATGAGTCTGGATTCTGATTTTATCGATGAAACGTGATGGATTTGTTATATTGATATTGATGTTGATGTTTGCTGATTAATTAATTGTTTACTATTGCTTTAAATGTCCAATGATTTTGTACCATGTATATTGAAACTGTGTTGTTAACCGCTCTGAGTCGCCTAAGGGCTGAGAAGAGCGGTATACAAATAAAGCAAATAAATAAATAAATAAATAAATAAATAATACTTTTCACTATGCAACAGCAGGCCTGTGTTCCTTTCACACTATACCAATGAAGTAGCAACAAAAATAATTTGATGGTTGGGGGTTACCACAACATGAGGAACTGTATTAAGGGGTCATGGCATTATGAAGGTTGGCCTACAACTCCTGGAAATCCCAACCAGTTTACCAGCTGTTAGGATTTCTGGGAATTGAAGGCCAAAACATCTGGGGACCCACTGGTTGACCTAAATAATAATAATAATAATAATAATAATAATAACAACAACAACAACACTTTATTTATACCCCGCTACCATCTCCCCAAGGGACTCGGTGCGGCTTACATGAGGCCGAGCCCAAAATACAACAATACAAGCAATAACAATAACAATACAAGCAATTTAAAATAACAAAACAATAAACCAATAACACATACAATATCAATAGGACAACACACTTTAAAAACTATGGGTAGGCCAAATGTAATTAAAATTAAAAGATTAAAAATAATGCTGGACATGGACGAAAAAGTGATAGGGCAGTTTGTGGGAACATACAAGCAGACCTAAATATATAAAGTGCTTTAGAGGACAAAGTGCTATGGGATCATTATTCTGGGAAGGCACACTGGAACAACCATGTCTTCAAGCTCCTCTTAAAGACTGCCAAAGTTGGGGCATGCCTGATGTCCTTAGGAAGTGAGTTCCAGAGCTGAGGGGCCACCACCGAAAAGGTCCTCTCTCTTGTCCCCACCATCGCACTTGCGATACAGGTGGGAGCGTGAGCAGGGCATCTCCAGATGATCAAAGAGATCATGTGGATTCATATACAGAGATGTAGTCACGAAGGTAGGCGGGTCCCAAACCGTTCAGGGCTTTGTAGGTAAGAACCTGCACCTTGAATTGGGTCTGGAAAATGAATGGCAGCCAGTGGAGCTCCTTGAACAGGAGGGTTGACCACTCCCTGTAAGGAGCCCCGGTTAACAACCTGGCTGGACCATCTGGAATTTCCGAGCCGTTTTCAAGGGCAGCCCCACGTAGAGTGCATTACAGTAATCCAGTCTAGAGGTGACTAAGGCATGGACCACCCTGGCTAGATCCGCCTTCACAAGGTACGGTCGCAGTTGGCGCACGAGTCTTAATTGTGCAAAGGCCCTCCCGGCCACCACCGACGCCTGAGCCTCAAGCATAAGTGATGAATCCAGGAGGACACCCAAACTGCGGACCTGTAGACACAGGCCACTACTTAGTTATGTAACTTAGGTAATTACATAACTATGTAGCTGATCTACCATTTTGGTCAATGATTTTATTCCAATTTTTTTATAGAGGCAGGGTACACACATTCTTTTATTATGATGAAAATAACAAGGAATTCTATGGCACCTTAAAACAAGTTTTATATTGCGCAGACCTTTCTGGACTCCAGTCCATTTCAATCAAAGATGTGGAATGATGCACCAATGGGCAGGTGTGTTTGTGTGTGCTGAAAAGGAAGCCAAATGAAGATTGGGTATGCCACAAATGCTGGATGAGTTTGAGAAGGGAAAATAACGGGGAAGCAGAAACAAGAGAAAATGGAATGGAGTATCCTTTGAGGGGAACCTGGCTGTCCGGCTTAAAAAGAGAAGTTCATAGGGCAACATTTTGTTTCACAACCTACTTGTTCCTTATGAAAGAATTATTTCACCATTATTAAGCAATTTAAAAACAAGGTTTCAAATTTCTTTGTGTAATAACGGCCTCATGCATGGTTGTTAATGTTTAGGCATTGAAACAGTTAACATTAGTAATTGGAAGTTGGAGCCTGTTAGTCTCAATATTGATTGATATATCTCTCAAAGAGAAGGTTCCCATCTCAATGGTATGGTGGACAGTCTCTTGTTATTCGAAATATTTCAAGGTTTTGGGTTGGTGTAGGTTTTTTGGGATATATGGCTATGTTCTAGAACAGTGATTCTCAACCTTTGGGTCCCCAGATGTTTTGGCCTTCAACTCCCAGAAATCCTAACAGCTGGTAAACTGGCTGGGATTTCTGGGAGTTGTAGGCCAAAACACCTGGGGACCCACAGGTTGAGGACCACTGTTCTAGAAGCATTCTCTCCTGATGTTTTGCCTGCATCTATGGCAGGCATCCTCAGAGGTTGTGAGGTCTGAAGTGAAAACTGTTTGATATTAAATTTGATGCTTCAGTATGGACATAAATGTTTCCAAACGATACTGATGTCAGAAAAAACAGCAAATGCTGTACATCCTTGTCCTTCTCTGGATAGTGGTAAGATGAGTAGCTGGAGGCCACTCTCTTTTGGCTCGTGGAGAAAGGTCTCAGAGATCAGCAATGGGGTACAGCTGGCAATCCAAATGCTTATACACCACAATTCCTACTAACACTATCATGATAAAAGTGATAGTATAGCAACATCTGGAGGCTTGATGGTCTGTATCCCTGTCTTCCACCCTATATGAAAAGCTTTTTTAAATATGAATCTCATAATCAATGAAAAAATAAACCTCAATTGAAAACCTCTCCATGGTGAGAGAAATTCAATTGCATATTTTATTTATCGTGTCAGAAGCGATTTGAGGGTACAGTTCTAATGTATTTAGAAACACACAGTTAAAAACTTGACATTATGCTAAAGTGTCTTTGACCAGAAGCTGGCCACTTGGAGTGCCTCTGGTGTTGCTGTGAGAAGGTCCTCCATTGTGCATGTGGCAGAGCTCAGGTTGCATTGTAGTAAGAGGCCTGTGGTTTGCTCTTCTCCACACTCGCATGTCGTGGACTCCACTTTGTAACCCCATTTCTTAAGGTTAGCTCTGCATCTTGTGGTGTCAAAGCACAGCCTGTTCAGCACCTTCCAAGTCACCCAATCTTCTATGAGCCCAGGAGGGAGTCTCTCATCTGGTATCAGGCACTGATTGAAGTTCTGGGTTTTTGCCTGCCACTTTTGGACTCTTGCTTGCTGAGGTGTTCCTGCGATTATCTCTGTAAATCTTAGGAAGCTGTTTCTTGATTTAAGGTGTTGGCTTGCTGGTTGATATCCGAACAGAGGGTGAGCCAGAGATGTCATTGCCTTGGTCCTTTCATTACAGGCTGTTACTTCCTGACGGATGTCAGGTGGTGCAATACCGGCCAAAGAGTATAATTTCTCCAGCGGTGTTGGGTGTAGACATCCTGTGATAATCCAGCATGTCTCATTAAGAGCCACATCCACTGTTCTAACATGGTGGGATGTGTTCCACACTGGGCATGCATACTCAGCAGCATTGTTTGAAGGCATTGTGTGGAGAACCTTAACAACTCAGGAATAGCTTGTCATGACTTTCTCCTAAAGGTATACTCATGGGTGTGAAGCAGTAAAGGTATTCTAACCTCATATGACCAGCTTGGCTTGTGGTTAGTTATCTAACTATGCTTCAAATATGCCAAGCAACAAGAAACAAACAAAGGAGACTTTTGTCTATATGCCAAAACATGATGAACATATTATTTACCTAGAGCATTAACTGCAGGCCAGAGATCAGGATAAGTGACCCTCCCCTTTGCCTTTCTGGTTTGCATTTTCATTTAACCAAGTCCTTTTAAATTACACTTCAGAGGTTACTATTGTGATGACTTGTCTCACAGAATAGCAGAGGGTTGGGGAAGATTGGAGGCTATGTCCTTTTCTGACTGAGTTTCTGAGCTATAGAGGAGCTAAAGCAAGTATGGACAAACTTTGGCCCTTCGGGTGTTTTGGACTTCAACTTCCATAATTCCCAACATCTGGTAAACTGGCATGGATTTCTGGGTGTTGAAGTCCAAAACACCTGGAGGGCCAAAGTTTGCCCATACCTGGGCTAAAACATCTGGAAACTTAGAAAATCAGGATAAAAAAGTTTTACTGCCTTGATTCCCTGGGTATTTTGTCTGTTCTCTCGTGCTCCTTTCTGTTCCTACTGAATGCTGGCTTTCAGCAGATTTGGAAAAAGTTAATACTTCCTCTACCTCAGAGGAGGAACCTGTCAGTTATGCTTTGTCTTTGATGCAATAAAAATCTCCTCAAGTTCTTTCTATTGCATTTCAGAAGAAAGTTGTGCATTTGAGTAAGTTCATGGTCACCCATCTCTACTTCCAAGAGCGTTTTGTAGTTTTGCTTGTCATTCAGAACATTGCAGATTATGGAAGAGGAAACAATTAGACAAAAAAAAAAGAAGAATATTAAATCATCTAATGTAACTTTTATTGACATGAATCAGGGATGGGCAACTATGCTACTGGTGAAGATTATTTTCTACCTTTTGCTCTGCCACTCAGTAACACCACCATCTTGGCTAGCTTTTGGTCATTTTTTTCTCTTTTTTTGGAAGGTTTGGTGAACTTGGCAGAATTGGGAAAGAAACCATTGTAGTTTGAACGTGCTTGCCATGTTTTAGAGGAAAAAAATAAGCCACCATAATCAACCTGGAAAAATGGGGTGAGGGCAATATCTGGAGATTTTGGGAAGTCTCAGTGGCCCAGTTTAGGGGTCTCGGGGCTGTAAATGCTGCTTGAACTCCCACCATGAAATAAAGAGTCAGACACAAGAAAATGGGTCTAAAGGGCCA